GTTTTGCTCCAAGGATAATGCCTTAGATTGCCTGCAATCCTGGAAAACCAAATAGATAAAAGATGCTTTTAAAAAGACAAGAAAGAAATGAAATTCACTTGCCCCAACTTATTGTATCGTACAGTCTTCCCATCTTGAAGTTCTCAAGATGTGTTGGATTCCCATAATTGGAATAATGGACTCCCATAATTAGGTCAGTCCAATGCATCCGGAGTGTTTTAGCCTGGAAAAAACTAGAGTTGTTGTTGTTCAGCTGTTCAGTCATGACCAACTATAAACATAGAAACATAGAAACTGAGCGAGTCAGAAGGGGCCTCCTGGGCCATCCAGTCTGATCCCTGGCTCCAGCCAGCTCTGCTCATAACATGCCTACCATGTGCATGTTTAGCCTGCCCTTGAACACCCTCAGCGATGGGGCTTCAACCTCCTCCCGTGAAAGGCCATTCCATACTCTTGGGGTCCTAACTGTCAGGAAGTACTTCCTGACATCCAAATTGAACCTTGGTTCCTTGGCTCCACCGGAGCACATCCTGCCTTCCTTTGCAAGGGAGAACAGGTCTCTACCCACCTCCATGTGACACCCCCTCTCATATCTGTATGTTGCCAACAGATCCCCTCTGAGTCTCCTCTTCTCCAGGCTGAAAAGACCCAGTTCCCTCATTCTCACTCATACGGCTTTCCCTGCAATCCAGCCACCATCCTTATTTATTTATTTAGAAAATTTCTATGCCGCCCCATTCGCCGAAGCCTCAGGGCGGCTTACAAATACGGCCCTAGGCTGCACTGACTCTAACTCTACCTCTATATCCTTCCTGTAATGAGGGGCCCAAAACTGAACATAATACTCCAGTTGTGGGTGCACCAGAGTCATATAGAGTGGTAGTAATACCTCTCTCGATCTAGGAGCCTTGCTTCTGGCTATGCAATCAAGGGTGGCATTTGCCCTCTTGGTGGCCGCATCACACTGCTGACTCATGTTTAGCCTGCAGTCAACCCGCACCCTGAGGTCCCTTTCACAAGTGCTGCTCTCCAGCCACTTGTCCCCTAACCTGTGCTTATGACACCCATTCCTATGCCCCAAGTGCAAGACCTTGCACTGATCCGTATTGAACACCATCCTGTTGTCTCCTGCCCACTCCCACAGTCTGTCCAGATCCTTCTGGATCCGGAGTACCTGCTCCTCAGTTGTGGCCACTGAGATCCTATAGGCAAAATCTAGTCACACTTTTCAATCCAGTGCCACCTCTTTCAGCAGAATGATGCTCTGGCTTCTTCGATGAAATCTAACCACCTTGTTCCTTGGTGACCTGTTCTTTTCTTCCCACTGAGCATTCCAAGCATTATATCTTTTTCTAATGAGCTCAGTCGCATGACACGGCTAAAATAAATGAGACTTGGCTTTGTTATCTTGCCAACCAGGGACACGTCTGACGAATCTTGTCCAGATCTCACTGGCATATTTTTCTTCAGTTTGCTCTGAAAGTCACCTTTCCCCTGACGTCTCCATACCCGCAACCGGCCAGGTAGCTGAGCCATATCATGATCAGAGGACAGCTCCCCCAAAGAGGGGGCATTTGATGGGACAACAATAGAAAGGCAAATAGCGCAAGGCCTGTTGTTAGAGGCTGCTTTGTCCCTGGCTGGTGGAAGTCCTGCAGCTAATGGCTTCTGTCATTCTTCCTCTTAGCTTTTCTGGTGGTTTTAAAGAAAAACAAAAGCAGGCATGGATTTCGTTTAGGGTTTTGTTTGAGCAATTCTGTTAGCCTTTGGCAGGCTGGTCGTGTTGGCTCATGCTTGCTCTCCAGCTCCCACTCCTCCTTTTCCCGTCCTACTGGGTTTTTGATGTGGAAGGATGGGTTGGCTGTGAACTGAGATAACATGACCTGGATTGTTTTGCTGGCTCTTCTGTTAACATTGACTTGACATTGGGGAAATCACTAAATCTCCATGCCCTTTGCTGAGAGATGGAGATAACAATTGCTCTTTGTCTCTGAATGGTTGAGGCAATCCTTCCTGCTTCACAAAACTCTGTAGGCCTAAATGCACAAAAAGCACTTATATAAGTGTATGTTGCTGAGTATTTCCCCCAATCCTGTTGCATTTAGGCGTCCTTTTTTCCAACTTGCTCAAATTTTCTGCCTCCTCCTTTTCTTCACCTCGCAGAAAATCACTGGCTTTTTCAAAATGTTTTTCACATCCCAGGCTGTGAAAGAGGATACACAGTAGAAGATAGACAGGATAGCTAGGAGCACAGTAGAAGTGGAATCAAGGTGCAGTGGGTTGTCCAGGTAGCAGAAGGCAAAAGGGCTTTTTCAGAAGGCCCAAAACTGCTGTCCTCAAAACTGAAGTGGTGTTACCAGGAAGGATGGCCCAAGTCAGCCTGGCCACGGCCAGGGAACGATGCAGGCCTGACTTCATCCAAGCTGCCACAAGCCAAGCTTTCCTCCCCTCACACATCCAAGACACCAGGCAGAATAAAAGCTCTTTATTCACAAAGGATACTCAACAAACGCAACCCTTGCAGAATGAATCCTTGCGCATGCACAGAGCCATTTGTTGACCCCAGGCTAAACGACTGCTTCTGGAAATTCTCCCCTTGAGTGCATCTGGGCCCAGTCCCTTCCGAAGGGCCTGTTTGGAAGTGACCTTCTCTAGGCCTGTCCTCTAGTTGGCATCCCCTCCTTTCTCAACACTGCTTCATGGGGTCGCTTATGGCAGCTTTCCCCCCTGGCTGGGGGGTTCTAGGAATTGTAGCACAACTCAACAGGAGGGGATTTATTTATTTATTTAAAGCTTTTATAAACCATCCCTATACTAGCAGACCAAGTTAGGGACAGCTGAACTGAGGTCTTGAGGCTGAACATGCCCCTTTTTTTGGACAGGGTGAAAAATTATTTCTTTCCTACCAATTCTTTCAGAGCTACAAATCAGAAGAGCTTCCATAGAACAGCTGGGTTGGTTGAGTGTGGCTGCTTGTATATGAGAGATTTATTGCCTGTTTTGCACTTCCTTAAAAATCCTTTGCCCAGGTATCTATTCATATTCTGACTGCTTCATTGTGCTGCCTGTAGGTAATCTAGTTACTATTCAGAAAAGAGGGGACATGCGGCCGCAAATCCTAAAAATGTGCAATCAGCATGTAAGTCACTGTGCATGTGATTTTATATAAGAATCGAAAATTCAGACTTTTCCAAGTTTATGCTATATTTGCGAAAAGTTTTAACCAGGCGGCAAAGATGTCTATGTGACTCTCTGGCATTCTTTAGCATCACCCCCTCTAATGCATGATATGGTATTGCTTGGTATGGCTACTGTGTGTAAAGAGCGATGGGAAAATAGCAATTCCCTTTCATAGTGGACTCTTCTCTGGAAAAGTTTATCTGTTGCTACTGAGTGAGTGATATTCTGGAGCAATTAGTCTCCCGTGGACAAATAAATATTGTTTTATTTCCATCCATGATCCTTCTTCCATCCCCTTTAAGCAGTTCTTTCCTTACCTTGGGTGGTAGTTTGGAGATGGCAACTGGCAGTGAGATCTAGGAGGACAGAACTAATCTGCTCCCCTCTGGTGACCCTGTTGCTGCTCCAAAAGTAAGGTTCCGCTACCACTCCGATTGGCTTTCATACTTGGAATTGAAGGCATCACCTTGAACTTCACCTCAGGCAAAACCCAATCTTGGTTCTGCTCTGTAGGAAAGAACTGCTGTCAGTTTATCCAAAGTACTGTCTGGCCTGGCATGATGCTAAATGCCATATAGATCAAGGTGGATCGAGATAAAGCAGAAACATAGCACATACTCCCCATTCCTGCAAGTCGCAAGGTGTGTGGAGAAGGGAACTGGCTGCAGGGAAACATTCCTCTGCAAGGGGAAGATATACAGAGCGAGCACTGCCTGGGACGGCCTGCCTGGCTGAGTCAGTGTACTGTTTTGAGCCAGTGCTTGGGCGACATCTCGCCTCTCCTGGCCATTCTGCCTTTTTCTCTTCCTCTCTCCTTCTCAGCTTCCTCTTCCTCGTGGGCCCTTTTTCTCCCTTCTATTTCCATGGACCTGTCCTCCTCCTCCTCCTCCTTCCTTCATCTTCAGCTGCTTCCTTAGGTACCTCTGCCAGCTCACCCTCTTCATGACGTCTGAGCTGTCAAGGGCAGGAAGGCGGACCTCAAGATCAGCCCTTCCATGGCAGCCTTAAAACAGCAGTAGTTCCACCATCACAAAATCTCCTGGCATCGCGATACAGTTTGAGTCACGCACTCTTGTTATCCTGGGAACGTGAGGCTGAGCAGACCTCACAGATTTACTTGGCCTGAATGTTATAAGAAAGCCAGGAGCCACCAGCTAGGCAGTAGACATACACTTGGAATGAACTTGTGATGCTGAGCACATTCGGAGTAGGGGGATTTGTCTGTAGTACTGGAGCTGGGCTTGGCTTTGGCAAAGGTTGACTGGAGGGAGCCAGCACTGCCATTAGGCTGAGTAAAGTAGCTGTTTTAGGTACTAGATGCTAAGAGGAGGCAGCAACATACCTGCTTGGCACCATGCTGCCTTCAGGTGCAGTGGACGACGTTGTCCCAACTTCAGGACAAATTCACCTGCCAGTCTAATGAGCTTTTGTATGTGGGATGGGTGGGGTGCCATTCTGTTTTCCAATATGGACAACAAAACTTTTTGAACTGGCCCCAACTCTTGCTTACCCTAAGCCTTCCTCATTTCAGCAGTCTAGTTCAGTGGGGAAAGGTAGGTTATTGTTGCCAGTGTTTAACCCTTGTGAGTCTGAAACCTCTGCCCATCTCCCACAAGTCACCTGGAGAGGTACCAGCAGATCGCAACCTTCCTTCCACTCACCTCTGACTTAGGCATATCTGTCTCTATTAAGTCAAGAAGAATCTGCATCGCATGAGACTGCGGAGTCGAGTCATAAGTGTCGCAACTCCTGCTAATGGAATATATTTGTGTTGATTGCTCAGCTCTGCTTAATGTCCCTTTTCCTTCTGCTGCTTCTAGGAGCTGGTGGGGAGCAACCCTCCGCAAAGGAACTGGAAAGGAATCGCAATTGCATTACTTGTTATTCTGGTTATCTGCTCCTTGATTGTCACTTCAGTTATCTTGCTGACACCAGGTATTTATATAACCTTTCGCTTTAGTTGCTCTTGGTGTTGTAATTTCAATGTCTTTGGAAATGCATTTTAAAGAGGCAGAAGCCCAGTGAAACTGAGCTCCACTGATAGATCAATCAAAGGGAGAAAATCTCTCTCCACTTCTTTTAAGCTCCCCTAATCTGGAGGGTAGTGCAGCTCAGCTTGTAATGTGATACTGAACATGCATGGGGATGCTTGCTCTTATAGGAGAAGAGGCCGCTTTGTATAACCAAATATGGAATCCTTCACATCCTCCATTTGGATGAAAAATAGATGGGTCACAACTCAAATGAGGTGGCTCACCTGCCCTTCCCAACTGGTCAGTGCCCAGGGGTACAGAACTTTGGGGCCAGGGTCCAAATCCTGCAGCCCCAACCTGGTTCCTTCAGTTCTCGGGGGGGGGGGGCACTGTTTCCCCTGACCCCTGATCATGGGGTGTTTTTCCAGCTCCTGTGCTATTTCCCCCATTGTATAAGGAAGAAATGCCTCTCCTAAGGCTTAGTTACTCACAGTGAGAGCTTTAAACTAGACTGGGGCTTGGGCCCGCTGCTTTTGCATTTGGTCCCACCCACCATGGCTGTGCAGCTGCCAAATGCTTTAGCCTACAGCTTGTATGGTCCTTTGCCGTTTCCTATCCTGGCTAGGTCAGGTGGGAGTCGTTGGTCAAAACAGCCGGAAGGCCACAAGTTTCCCACCCGGGAAATAACCGAGCTGCACCCTGATTGCAAGATGTTGACCTGGAGTTGTTGGGTTTGGATGCCACAATGCCCTCGACGTAGCGCCACCCTGCTTCCACGGGCTGGGCCTGTGTCCATCGCTCAAGCTCGTGTGCCTTGACACAATGAGTGTTAGGACTAAACCATTACAATGGAGTTCCAGTGGAAGCTTGTGGGCCTATTAATGAAATAAAGCTCACTTTGTGACTGAATCTTAAGTGGCTGAAGTACCTTGGGACCAGCGAAGTAAAAAGCCATTTTCTCCTCCATTAATTGGCTCAGTGGAGACTGTTTATGGCATCTCTCAACAGGGATGTGTTTAGCCTGCATAACAAGTTAACACTAAACAGTGGGAAAGATAGTTAATGCTGAAAGGCATCTTTGATGCTAGAGATAAACAAATTAAACATATTGTCTTGGATGTTGCCTGATTGGATTCAATGAAGCTTACTTTTAAGAAAATACCATTAGAGTTGGAAGAGCAGGCATTCTGTATAATACAGGACTTCAGAAATTGGACAAAGCTCCAGAGCTGTTAATGTCCAAACCTTTGGATAGTGCTGCCACTTTCCTTCCGTCTGTCCATCCTTCCTTCCTTCCTTCCTTCCTTGAGGCAATAAACATAGAAAGAACAAAATTAGGTGTGTGGGGAGAGAGGAGAGCAAGGAAAGGAAAGGAATGAAAAGACATATAAAGCGACATATATAATAACAATTAAAAATGGCACCTCCTTTACCAACAAGGAGCAAAAATCAGGGTTTCCTGGACCAGAAATGAAACCAGAGCAAGGATGTCCTTGGAAAGTTGCCCTGGGTAGGTAAAAATGCTTTGCCCATGAGATGCTCTTATCTGTTGCTGCTATTTGCCATCACGTCATCTCTGATTTATGGGAACCCTATAAATGGAAGCTTTCCAAAATATCCAATTCATGACTGCTGTGTGCAGCTCTTGTAAATTCCAGGCATGGCTTCTTTTATGGAGTGAATCCCTCTCCTATTTGGTCTTCCTCTTCTTCTGTCTTTGACTTTCCCTAGCATGCTGGTCTTCTCCAGTGAGTTTTCCCTTCTCATGAAATGCCCAAAGCCTCAGCTCTGTTGTGTTTGCCTCTAAGGAAAGCTCTGGCTTCGTTTGATCGAGAACCTACTCGTTGATTTTTCTGTCGGTCCAAAGTAGTCACATGCCCCGGCAGGGGTAACAGTTAGACGGTCCCAGTGCAGTGGGTGAGGGTCTGTCAAGCAAGTCCTGCGCACAGAAGGAGGTGATACTGCTGCTGTGTGGGAGGCCTGAACCACCCGCAGGGACGTGTAGTTTAGGCAGAATCCTGACTGCAGGGATTCTGCTCATGAAAAAGGGCTACTGTGTGACCCAGATTAATGGGTCCCCAGCACAGTGCAAGCTTTTTGTGGGCCCTCAGGCAAGGCACATCCAGCTATCCTCTCCCTGAGTGAATCCACCTTCCCATGGTGTTCTTGCTCCGCATCCTCATTCTCATCCTGGGTACCACTTGCTTGATTGGCAGGCAGAGAGACAGGGAGCAGCTGAGCAAGCAGGTTGCAAGGGTGGAGAGGAGAGGAAAGTCCTGAGGACTCTTGTTGGTGGGCCCTTGACCGAATTCCTGACAGGCCTGTCCTGGACACTGCCCTGCTGATGATGGGCAGTGCCGGAAATCTTGTGCCTCTGGTAAAGCTCCTAGCTGCTCCCAGCACAGTATCTTGTTTTGCATTCCTGCCCTGATTTCTGTTCTGCCCTCATTATTTGGACCTGAAAGCTGCTGTCCTTGAGGAAGGGAAGCAATGTCTAGAACTCCTTTGCTTTCCAGCTGTTGATTTCAGATATGCCATGAAATCTTTGGCCTGTTGCCTAAAACATGTGTTACAAATGCTGGAGGAAGACCATAAGAGGCTGTCGAGAAGAGGCAACCAAGCCTCAGGGAAATCAGTGAATGTAAATTGTGTCATCTTTCCCCCTGAAAGATGCCAAGAAAATTTCCGGCCCTTCAGGATTCTGGCCACGTAATCGGGGCTTGATAATCAAAGTATTAATTGGTTCTTTCCCATACTTCTCTAAACATACTTCTTTCTTCATTATTTCCCATATTTCTTTAAACGTGAACATCATGCAATTTTTCTTTCAAGGCAGAGCTAGCATGCGTTTCTTTAAAATTGTGTGAAATATATATAGACCATGCTGTTCACATAAAAATGATAATTACTATTCCTGAAGTTAATACATTTTAATCAGAAAATAAGTTCCTGTGGGAGGGGGATGTGTGATATTCTGGGAACAGGATGCCTCTGAGTATTTTACCTACTTAGAATTTTGTTTTCAAAAGAAAAACAAGATAATATGTGGATGTGAGGAATGACAAGTACAATTTGTAACATATTAGTAGAAGGGGAGGACCGATACGATCCTCTTAAAGAGTCTTGGGAAATCAATTTAAGAAGAAATATTATCAATGAAAAATGGAAGAATGTATGAGATAAAAGAATTTTAAAATGAATGTCAATAAGAAGTAAAGATTTCTTTTACAAATTAGTTTAGAAATGGAACTTAACTCCAGTAAAATAGAATTACATGAATAATAAATATTCCAATGTATTCTGGAGATGTAACTGGGAAGTGGTATCTATTTCCATATATGGTGGGAGTAAAAATACATGTTTTGGAAAATGGTTTTCAAAGAAATTAGTAAAATATTGAATCTAAATATTGAAATAAACCCTGAATTAGTGTTACTGTCACTATTTAGCGAAAAAGTGGGACAGAATACTAAAGAACTGATGATGAATTTAGCAACAGCTGTAAGATTAATAATAGGTAGGAACTGAAAAGTAAAAGGTGGCTATCAAGTAAACAGTTTGTATAAAGAACTATGACATAGCTATTAATAAATTAACATGCCATATTAAGTTGAAAAAAAGGCTTGATAAGTAAAAATAACTTTGAAGGTATTTGGAGACCATTTGTTGAATATGTTTTAATAAAGAGAAAGGGGTGTGAGCCATCAGAAGATTCAGTGCAGTTCTGGAAGGGGACCTAGGTGTGCAGCAACCTGAGAGAATAAATGATTTTGCTCTAAGGAACATGTATCTGTTGCTCCTGGCCGAAGGTAGCACTGTTATTTTTGTATGGTTTAGTTATGATTAGCATTATTAATTTTATTATTCATATTGTTTTATATTGTGTAAACTATGAAGTTTCTTTAATAAAACCATTTAAAAAGAATGTTATTTTCAGAACCAGAATGCAGTTCATGCCCCTTTCACCTACACATCCACTTCCAGTTTGCCCCAGAGCCGTCTCCATGTCCGTGGCCTAACTGGGAGAGAGCAAGAACCCTTTTCCCGTTCATATTTGCCAGGAGTCAGGGACCTCCACTGCAAATCATCCAGAAATCTACCAGTAGACAGAATAGCCTATGAACCAGGGTGGCCAGTTGCCCCTTTGTTACTCTTTAACAGAGAGCCATTCTTTAATTGAAGGGCTTCCAGGGGTTCCTCGTTTGTTTGAAGGACTGCCCCATCCATTTCTGATTTCAGCCAGAGGATCAGGAGATCTGTTGTCCATCAGTGCTTGACACCTGGACAGCAGACCCAGGTCGCAAGCACGCTGTCCACCTGGTCGCAGCCTTCCACCCTGCTCCTGAGTGAACCACAATTGCTGTTTCCAAAGGTGCATCTGTGGGTACCAACTTCGGCAAGCACCTTTTGTGCAAAAAAGTGCCCAGTCCTGATTGTCAGAAATACATTTATTTGTTTGTTTGTTTGTTTGTTTATTTATTTATTTATTTAGAAGGTTTGTATGCTGTCCTATTTGCATGAGCCTCGGGACGGCTTCCATACAATACATAAATAACCATACAAATAGTGCACATAAAATCCAGATTCACCCTGGCTGCAAATTAAAACCTATAGATAATATTAAAAGTCGTTAAAATATTGTTTAAATAAAAAGGTCTTGGCCTGGCGCCGAAAAACAAATAACAACGGCGCCAGGCGGACCTCTCTGGGGAGCGCATTCCATAGGTGGGGCGCCACCGCAGAGAAAGCCCTCCTCCGAGTACCTAACCTCCTAATTTCCTTCACAGAGGGTTCTCAGAGAAGGGCCTCTCCCACAGATCTCAGGGGGCGGGCGGGCATATATGGATGTAAGCGCTCCTTCAGGTAACCAGGCCCCAAGCCATTAAGGGCTTTATTGGTGTAGGAGCCGCCATTAAAAGAAGACAACACAAGTTTGTAATGCTTCCCCTAGTCCCCAGTTGAACACAGAGGCTCTGTGGGTTGAGAATAGGGTTCAGATGAGGACATTGCACCAGCGCTTTTCTACCAATGCTTCCCTAGCGCTCTTCCAAAAGTCTGGCTGCTCACTAGATCAATGGAACAGGAGCTTTCAATGACCTGAAAGCTGAGACCTCTGCGGCTTTGCAACTGGGGAAACAGCCGTTTCCTTGATTTTGAGTTACATAGCAGAAAGGACCTCAATCCATAGGACCAGTCCTTAGTCTGGTAAAGAAATCCACCACACATCTCAAATGCTGGTCAGTTCAAAACAAGGAGTGATAACTAGACGGATTTTGTAAATGAACAGATAAATCTCAAATTAACAATAACATTTTTCCCCTTTCTGAACGTTTCACAGTTGAAGATAATAGCCAGTCTCAAAAGAAGAAGATTAAGGTGGAAGATTTGTTCAGTGAAGATTTCAAAATTCATGACCCAGAGGCTAAATGGATAAGTGGTGAGTCTTACAATTGTATGAGAAAACAACTTCCATCACCTCTGTATAATTTCTGCTTCAAGCATTCCACTCACCCTCTTTCTGTATTTCATGTTATCTTTTCATCTTTGCGTAGTTTTCACTAGCTCAGGGCATTCCTAACGTATCTGTAGGTCTCTACAAGGCCCTCCAGTGATCCCCACAAAACTCTTCACTACCTTCCCCCTTCAGAACATTTGGGAAACAGCTTTGGGAAATGTTGAGCTATCCTTCTTTCTCTCCTTCTAGCCTTGCCCTTTCTCTCCCTCCTTCTCTTTGCCTTGCTGTTTTGCCCTCCCTCCCAGCTTTTGGCCTCACTATGTCATAGCCTCCATCCACCAACCTCTTTCACTCACTTCAGCCTAAATGGCCCACCATGGCAGCCATTATGGGAGCCACCATGGCCTCGGTGGGGCTCATTTTGTGAGGATGCTCACAGTGGTTCCTCAAATACACCCATGGATCCAAAAAGGTTGGGGACCCTGCTCTAGCCCATTGTTGCCTCCGCCAGGTGGCACCTGGCTTTCAAGGAATGAAGCAGAAGTAGTTTATAACCTTTTCTAATGGAAAATGCTGGCACAGCTTGACTCTGGATGGATATTTATTTATTTATTATACTTGTATCCAGCTTTTTCTGCAAGGTGGCTTTCATAATTCTCCCCTTCTCCTTTTACCTTCATAGTAATCCTGTTGATTTAACTTGATTTAAACTAACTTAAAACAAGTCAAGGAAACCAGTCATTAGGGCAACATCTCACTAAATCATTTTTGTCACTTTCGGGGGTGGGGAGTAACCTTAAAAATACATTCTCTTTCTCCCAAAAACACCGTTATTGGGGGCAGAGAAGTGAAACATTGCTAAGAAACTAGGAAAATCTATCTGAATTGTGCATCCTTATTGGCTTCTCTTTATCTATGAAATTCTTAAATTTGTAGGGCACGCAGAACTTACAGCCATGGGGGTTGCCACTGCAGTGCAATATCTCAAACTTAATACACCTCAATCCACCACATAAATGTTCAGTGACTGGAATTTTAAGACAGACAGAAGACAGACAAACAGAGCTCCTCACATCCCTTTAGGTTTAGTGTATTCTATAGTCTATAGTGTAATTTGGATGCCAGGAAGTACCCACAGGAGGTGGTTGAAGCCCCATCAGTGAATGTGTTCAAGGATAGACTAGGCATGCACATGGTAGGCATGTCATCAGCGGAGCCGGCTGGAGCTGGAGGTCAGACTAGATGGTCCAGGAGGCCCCTTCCGTCTCGCTCATTTCTGTGTTCTGTATTCAAACTCTGACTTTGCAGAGCTGTTTCTGTGTTAAGAAGGCCAGCAGTCTGAGCCTTGCAACCTGCCACAAGTGCGTTGTTGCACATTTCCCTAAATGGACCCTGATTGCAGAACATTGCCATGGTGCTGTGGAAAGAAGCATGATGAATGGTCATCAGCAAGCATAGCTTTGGTCACAAAGCATATTTTTCGCTGGCCCCAGGCTCAGTCCTGTGCATGGTTTTGTGATTATTCTGTGCCGTCAAGTCCTCTCCAAACTAAGGTGACCCTGTGAATGAAAGCTCTCCAGAATTTCCTCTCCATGACAGCCTTGCTCAGCTCTTCCAGATTCAAATCTGTGGCTTGCCTAATAGAGTCAATCCATCTCATAGAAGAAAAAGCCCGTAACTTCCAGCATTTCTCAGGCAGCCATGCTGACGGGGGACGCTGGCAGTTCTGGGACTTTTGCCATTTGAGTGTGCATAGGATTGCACCATAAACCTCTTCTGTACAATACAGGTGTTCTAGTATAAAATGCATAACCTCAGCATGAGGGCTGACGGAATGCCAAATGTGGCTCATGTCTCTTAAAAGACTCTATGCACTCCCCCGAGTCATGAGCAATTTTGTTCTGTCAAATATCTTACATTTTACCTGCCGTTGTTCACATTAAGCTTGCATTTTTATTACTTCAGGTCTTCTGCGCAACGTTTATTCCATACTTAAGTCTCAAGGTGAGGCAAATGAAGGGACTGTTAACCAGCCGCCCTCTTCTTGCTTTAGAGTGAAGGTTGAGGAGCACGAGCAGATGTTTCCCTCACCACAGGGAGACTGTTGCAAACAGCATCCCCGTGGCAAATTCTCCACAGTCACACCCACCCGCATGGTAATGTTTAGCCTTTCTGATCTTGTGAAGGGCATCCATCCTGTTGTGAGCGTCGACAGCCATGGCAACTGGTAGCAAGAGAGGTGCTTGCTACACAGCACACGCACTCTGGGTGAGGGACTGCTATAAAGCTGCTGCTGCTGCTGCTGATGATGATGATGATGAGGCAGTGCCCATCCTCAGGTGTGCAGTCGTTGGACAGCTCCCTTGGTCTCCTCTCCTGCCCGGCCCCTGCATTGCTGGACGGTGCACCAGGAAGGCAGGAAAGCTGAGCCACACAGTGGCGGTACTGGAAACAGGGCAGATCCAAGGGAGAAGGCAACGTACGGTGCAGGCTAGAGGGAAAGATAGAGCTAATGGGGCCAGGCCCTCACGTCCCACTTGCCCCTGTGTCTGCTCCTGGGGAGCACCTCAAGTGACTCCTCGCCCTGGAAAATGGCAGCAGAAAGTTGCGCAGAGCTGAACTTGGAGAAAAACGGAGCCGTGTGTCCAGCGAGGTTAGTGGAGAGCATCTGAGTGACTGAGATTTGGTTCAGGTTGAAAAGACTGAAGGTTGATCAGGCACTGAAAAAGATCTATAGCGAGCTGTCACTGGGAAATCCATTATATAAATGTCAAGTGGTTTTCTGAACTGAATGGCTTGGCCTTTCACTGCTGCTTTATATTATGATGCGTCAAATTCTGATTTCAGTTACTTTGGGCATAAAAGCTCAGATAGTCTCCATGGTATAGCTTTGCATTCATCCCAATTTATGAGCCCGGCATTACAGGGATGGGTGCCTTGCTGAAAAATATTAAAATGCCATCTTTCTCATTAGAGGTCAACCGAACAATTCAACAGCTTTAATTAGTTCTTGCATCTTCCCTGTGGGGCAGGCAAATATTATTATTGTACTCATTTTACAGCTGGATAAACAGCAAAACAGAGTGATGAATCTTTAAGGTCATCGATAAGACAGGAGGTGAACTGGGAATACAATATGGCACACCAGTGTCTTAGGCCCCGACCTAAACTGGCATGCCATTTTGCCTCCAGCAGGCTTCAGCTCCTGTCCAATCCTTTAGAGTCTTCTTGCAAATTCTTAGGGAGGGATAGTTCAGTAGAAAGCAGTGCTATGGGCCATACTGAGAGTGCATCTTTATAAATGAATCAAAACAGCTTTAGTTGGGCTCTGCATTATTTCCTCAGTCTCCTTTTGCTCAGAGACATGAGGTCATTGAGTAAGGAAAGGCTGCAGTCCAAAAGCTCACCTCTGATTGTGGTGCACACTTCGGCAGTCTCCGAGGACACCTCTCCGTGTCCCTGAGAAACACCCCTGGCCTGCGCCCAAAGTCCCAAAATCAATCCACTTCTCTAGGTTGGGAGGAGGGAGTGAAGCTGCCCCTTAGTTTCTAGGGAAGGGCAGTGGCGCATTCCCATTCTATATAGGCTTGTCCATGGTTAGACACATACTCAAGGTGAGCCAAAGGCAATTATGGTGGTTACAGAGGTATAAAGACGTATAAAGTATAAAGGTAATTTATTCCTTGTAAATGACCACACCACAGCATAAAATGGCCTGTCCCCAGAGTCATACGGATCCTGATGGATTCCTGAGGGCTCTGGGGGAATTTCTGGTTGATAGGACTGGCGCTCCTGTCGATGCCTTGGTTGATTTGCAGAATGGAGAAGTGACCTGGTCCTTGACACTGGCTGCCAATTGAAGTCTGGGCCCAATTTAAGGGACTGGTGATGACCTGTAAAGCCCTAAATGGCTTAGGACCTGGATATCTGAAGGAGAGTGTCCTTCCCTTAAGATCTGGGGTGGAGGTCCTGCTTCAGGAGCCCTCCTTGCAGGAGATTAGGAGGGTGGCTACCTGGAGAAGGGCCTTCTCTGCAGTTGTGCCCCGGTTACGGAATATGCTCCCCAGAGAGGTTTACCTGGTGCCGACACTTTGTTCTTTCTGGCACCAGGCCAAAACCTTTCAATTTTCCCGTTATTTTAAGGTTTGAGTGTGATTTTAATGTGGAGTTTCATTGCACAGAAAACCTATTTGGATGCTATGCTTCACTTTGTTTTATTGTAAGACTGTCCCGAGACCTGAGTAGTGGACAGGATATTAAAGTTTTAAATAAATAAATAAATAAATAAAAAGTTACTTGTAAATCTGGCAAAACCATGTCTGCTCATCTTGCCAAAGTTAGGCAAAATCATGCACATGGTGACACAGGAAAAAGGTCCTGCTGGGGCATGCTGGAAGTGGTCTATTCTGTCTAAACATGCATAGGATTGCACCGTAAGACTGACTTCTTGCCCAGTCCCAAGGAGTTTTGGGCTAGTCCATCCACAAGAACCTTGACTGAGTGCCGAATGGATGGCTTGCCATAGAGGCACAAAATGCTAGTCTGGCTCTTCCGTGTCCGCACTCCCATGTCCTTCTCCTCCTCCTCCTCCTCCTCCTCCTCATTATCGCTGCTGATGAAATTATGAAGACAACTCTGAAGGCTCTTTTACCGATCAATATGATGCACAATCGTCAGGAAGTCTGAATTGTGCTCCTTCTCTTGCTCTCTCTACAAATCCTCAGTTCCCAATTCCAGGACACAGCCCAGCACAGTCAAGAGACTGAGCCCAGGAGGCGAGGCGCATGGCTCAGTGGTCCAGCACATGCTTTGCACGTGGCCAGTCACTGGGGGTGACGTCCCCCATTAAGAAGGAGCAAGTTCTTTGTGATGGGGAAGACCTTGGCCTGAGACCCTGGGAAGCCATTGCTTGCTGGAGCAGGCGCAGTCATGTAGATGGATGGTTGGACGGACAGACCTCGTTGCCTTTGCAGAATGAAGGC